CCCCCCCCCCCCGCCCCCCCTAACACATGCAAGTGGGCCTGTTGCTGTTTTCCATCAGCCGAAGGTGGGGCAATGAAAGGTGGGTGAGCATGCGAGAGGCACACGCCCACACACACATACACTTGGTGCCGTTCTTGTCATGGTTTTGGATCCACGGTCGGGTAGGATTGTGGGGTTGGTGTCAGTAAAGTCGACCACTTTTCTCTCTCAGGGAGGGTATCACTAACTCTGGTCGATATGGTGAGTTGTCATCCATCAGTCAAATGCGTCCTGGGCAGACTGTCGTGGTTCCACCTCCTGATGAGCAGGTGAAAGTCAGAAGAAACACTCTGTCAAAGTAGTGCTTTTTTGGGTGGAGTTGTGTATACAACACAACACACACACACACACACACACACACACACACACACACACACACACACACGCACACACACACACACACACACACAGACAGACGATATGAAGATCAGAAGTGAAATAAACAGGAGTATGAAGATCTGAAGAGAAACGCACAGGAGCATACCTTCCCTTTTACTCTGCCTCCTGTTCTGACGTGCAAGTGGGCCGTTAAGGCACACAGGGATGTGGGCAGCTGCCGCTCAACCACAATCAACATGGGCAGCCTTGTACGTGCAAGGCATAGTAAAAGAGGAGCTGTTGCCCCAAAGAAACCCCAACGAAACACAATGCAAAATGGTTCAATTATGATTCATGTTGCTTGCTAAAGAGGTGCATTCTTTAGTTGTTGGGCTGGCTCAACTCGAACCTACTTGTCTGGGTGGAATAGGGGCTGTTGTGGTGGAAACTTACAACACACACACACACAGACACACATGTTATGATTCTGGTTGTCCGTTGTCTGAAGACCAACACTCACTCACATAGACTTCCAGGTATGCCCATACATACACAGAAGGAAGGGGAGAGGATAGGAGTATCACACAACACCGGGGAAGACTTGACCTTGCGATATGACATGGTACACTGAAAGTGCAATTCACTCCACTTGATCCTCACAACCAGTCATAAAGAAAAGCCGAGTAGATCATATCCAGGAAACAACGAGACGATGATAGTCCAAACCCAGTATTACACTGTTTATTGAACTCAGAGTCTCAAATTGTCAGAATAACTTCAGACCTACAGTGCGCTGCTCACAATTGAGCAGCGCTTCACTCCCCAACCCTGAGTAACCACTCGTGACACCCCTGAGCCCCTGAAACATCAAGCGCCACCCAATTACTGCCCCCAGAGAGCAGCGCCACCCTGAAACAGGCCTCTGAGGCCAAGCGCTACTCAGTGGATGAAGAAGAAGACCAGCGCCACAGTATCTGATGATGACAAAGTGTCGGAAGACTTCCCGGGTGGAAGTCTGCAGCAGCGCCACCAAATCCTGACAAGATGACCTCTGAGGAGGAAGCTGCAGCTATAGCTGCAGCGCCACCACCCAGTGACCCCACTCCGGAGGAGGGTCCAGCAGGGCACCAACTTCTCTCGCCTCCAGCAGACCTCGATAACCCAGACCTCTGTACAGCCCCACGTGCTGACAGAGTACAGCGCAGGTCCCAGCTATGGCCGGCGCTCCGAAGGTCTGGCTATGTCTGTCTCCCACAACGCTGAGCCGTCACCACTTCCGGTTCACGCGCAGCGCAGCAGCGATGTACTTGGTACCAACTGCCAAAAGCCCTGGACCGATGTGACCATCCTTTCTATAGTCTAAACTAGCCTAGACTCGCCCTAGACCGGACTGACTGACCGACCGGTACCGATTCTGTTTCCGGCCTCTAGGGCCTCTCCCAACCCGGCTATAGGCTATAGGACCGTCTATCAGCTTAGGCCTATAGGGCCTGGCTATCCTAGGGGTAGACCGGGTCTGCTATTCGCAGTTACGGTAGCTGTAGGAAATTCAGTTAGTAGGGGCCTGTTTTTTCCCCCCGAATTTACAGATATGTCCCTCACGAATTTTCCTTACAGGCAGGTCACACAGTTAGCCCTCAGCCAAACAAAATTGCGAATCTGTCCTACCTATGGTACAGCCTCGACAGAGAGAGGCTACCGGCGACCAGAAAACAGCAAGTCATTGCACACACACAGCCACGAGTTCTCTTTGGGGGAATGCATGTTTTGTGGGCCGGAGTGGAAGGCTTTCCCAGTTTTTTTGGACCCTTAGCAGGGTGGATCTGTGTGTTCTTGCTGGAGGAGTCTTCTGTCTTAGGCAAGTTGTCTCTTATCTTCCTCCTCCTCTTTGGCAGTGACGCGAGTGTGTAGTTTGAGATGAATGTCGGGAATGCCAATGCTGTTATGTTTGATTGTTTTTGGTAAATGAGTTCTTGGTTTTGTGGGCCGATGTGGAAGGCTCTCCAAGTTTTTTCGGACCTTTGAGGGGGTCGGGTCGGTGCCTTCTTGCTGGAGTAGTCTTTTGTCTTAGGTAAGTTGCCTTCTGCCCTCCATCCCCTTGTGGTTTGAAATATATATGTATTCATATGTATATGTGCAAGTGTGCCGCTTTGGCGGCAGATGGGTGTGTGGGCATTTGGCGCTGAACCACACGAGCGTGGCCAACCTTGCATTTTCTATTATATTGCTTATCTATACTTTTTCGTTATGGATGGCTTGTGATGTTTTGTGAAGGGAATAAGAGAGAGAATCTGGGGTCTTTTAAAACAACAGACACAGAGACGGATGTCTTGGCAGATTTCAGCTGTCAGGGTCGGGCTCGCACTAGCGAGCTATTCTTCTTTTGTGGTTGGATTTTTCGTTGGTTGTCATTTGTTTATGTACATGGCCTGATTCTTTGCCCTGCTTTAGAGTGCAATCAGACTCGTTTTTCTCGACCTTCAGCATGCATACAAACAGATGACGATCAAGCTGGCGACCAGTGCCCACACAAAGCTTAGAGATAACGAAGCCAAGAACACAACTCCGATTCAAATTTGTCTTGGTCGGCTATGGCCAACACGCGCAGTCTCAGCAACTTGTTCGTGCACACACACTGGATCTCCCTGGATGTTCTGACACACACACACACACTCGCTATACCTATACACAGACACTACTATCTGCTGACGTGGCGGCTATGGCCGCCGTCTTCCTCCTATCACTACCACCTTCGGCTATGGCCGATCTTCCTCCTCTTAGCCCCCTTCTTCCCCGGGCACCTGCAGACCTCCTTGCACAAGACACTCAGGCAGCGCTTCCGCACGGCTCATAGGCAAAATGCATGCTGAAGGTCGAGAAAGACGAGTCTGATTGCATTGGTATCGGAGCCGTGCGGAAGCGCTGCCTGAGCGTCTTGTGCAAGGAGGTCTGCAGGTGCCCGAGGAAGAAGGGGGCTAAGAGGAGGAAGATCGGCCATAGCCGAAGGTGGTAGTGATAGGAGGAAGACGGCGGCCATAGCCGCCACCTCAGCAGATAGTAGTGTCAGTGTGTATAGGTATAGCAAGTGTGTGTGTGTGTGTCGGAACATCCAGGGAGATCCAGTGTGTGTGCACGAACAAGTTGCTGAGACTGCGCGTGTTGGCCATAGCCGACCAAGAGCATGGGCTGTCTTTTTGATGAAGGAATGTCTGTGGGTGGCCACAAGTTTTTTCGGGGTAGGGCTCAGAGACTGTTTGCCGTGTGTGTCATTCCCACGGGCCACGGGCTTAACCACGCAAACGTGGGCAACCTTGCATCTTCTAATCTAGTGCCTATCCATATTTTTTTTGTTTTATGGATGTTTTGTGATGATTTGTGGTTGGAATGAGGAGAGAATTTGGGGATCTTTGAAAGACACACACACATACAAAAACTCTGTGAAGGGCACATGCCTGCACCGATTCCTTTTGTAGAATCTTTTTTTCTTTTTTCTTTTTTCTTTTTCTTCTTTTTTTCAGTTTGTAAAATCTTGTTTGTACTGATTGACAGGCATCATTCTCTGACATTTCCGGAGGGTGTTCTGACAAAACACTACGAGAAGCTCCTGCAGTGCGATCCACGCCTCAAGTCCCTTGTCGAGGGGATTGATATGGTGGGGCTACGGGGGGTCCGTAGTTTGCTTGGAGGGGGGGTCACATCAGCTTATCAGGGACAGCATTCTGTGCACGAATTACAGGAGCTTGAGCATCAGCACCAGCATCATTCCCCACCAAAGTCGACAGATATACGCCACGAAGACAACAAAGGTAAGGGCTCCGATGCGGACATCGATGTCCTGGTCACATACAATCGCACTCTCCCTGAGAATACCGTACCGACGGTACCGCCATCGGGAGCTCAATCGTCCGTGGAGAATCCCTTTGCAACCTTGCAGCCATCGGTACTCGGGAACTATGCTAGCTCGAATGTGACTGTGCAGCAGCAGCAACTGCCTCCGTCAGATGGCTGGAAGGGGGAGTTTGAGGTCAGGCAGCGGCATCAACAACAATCACTACCATCAGATTCATGGAAAGGAGAGGTCAAGGTGCAACAGACGACGGATGGAACGGTGGGGCAGAGGATCACGACAACAGTGCTGGCGAAGTCGGAGGGTTGGGATCGCCAAGAGGGATGTGGACAACTTGACGAACCTGCTTCTGCACAGCTCGATTTCCTTCACATGGGGAACAACAAAGGGTGGGAGAGGGAAAGCGGTCTGATGGAGCAGGAAAGCCCTTGTTCTACAGCTGAGAGAGAGACCGGCGGCGCCATATTGATTCCCGGCGAGCAGCCAGTGTCTGCAACATCAGGCTTTAAACAACCGATTTCGATGACAGGCGTGCATCCGATAACTTCGGCAATTGGGGGGAGACCCAACGTCCTGCATAACCATGACCATGTTTATGGTGGTCTTGATCAGCTCCCTGCTGCGCACTTGCAAACTCATCACTCTCTGGAACAGGGACCCTCTAACTCAGGTAAATGGCAATATCATTTCATAGTGCCCATGCTTTTTGGTTGTGTTGAGAGTAGAGATGATCCTGTACACCGGTGTGTGTGTGTGTGTGTGTGTGTGTGTGTGTGTGTGTGTGTGTGTGTGTGTGTGTGTGTGTGTAAGTTGATACAAAAACCCCACGTGAACAGACGTGGCGAGCTGCACAGAAAAAGCACATCAAGCAACATACGGCATGACCAAAACAAGCAACAAAGAGAAGCTGAATGCCCTACTGTTGAAGCTAAACAGGCAGAGAGAAGCAAACGGGAGGTAATGCACACTGAGAAGACGTACCAGGCACATAGATGACAAGCAACCACCAGACACATAGGCTGGAGGGCACGGCGGAGGCGGGTGGGCACAGAAACACGATAAGAAAAGGCAAAGACAGTGAGTTGTGAAACAAGCAGTACCCATGGAAGACAGAGACATAGGCCAGAGGGCAAAAGCAAGATGAGCAGGGAGAAAGACAACACAAGTCAGCAAAAGCAACAACAGTAGATCAAAAGACAAAAACTGAAAAAAATAAAACTGATGATAACAATATTGTTTCGACGGAGTTGCACCGACTCATCAGGAGGCTGAACCCTCGACGATCTGCGGAACCTCCATATTTGATGGTTTGGGTCATTCCCATTGATCCATGTTAAAGCCAGACTGTCCTCAAGCGGAACATAGAAGCAGGCAGCAACCCTGTGTAGCACCAGGCAACGCCGTAGAGGCAACACGGCTGCACAACGCCAAAACCGACTGCAAGGAACGGCACGGCACGCAGGACGCGCAGTGCGGTAACCACGCAGTTAAGTACAAGGCAAAACCACCTAGGCAACCACTCTGCAAGTGACAATAGGGCGAGCGGACGAGCAGCACAGCAACCATGCGGTGAAGCACAAGGCAACATCAACACGGCAACCGGACTACAAGGTGCACAAGCAAAGGACACGGAAGGCACGGCCAGTGGAAGGGCGGCAAGGCAGTGGGGCAGTGAAGCGCAAGGCAACACCAACAACATGGCCACACCATAAAGCAAACACAGCAGCTTCCCAAGAACGACCTGCGAAGCAAGCGGGACGGGCAGCAAGCGGCGGAGCGCAGCCGAGGCAGTCCACACATCCAACACGGAGCAAAGCGGCATATGACCTACTCACATCACGGGTGAACCCCGTAGACTGTTGATTCCCACTACCCACTGAGCCAGGGAATCACTCCAACAAACATCCATCATCACCCATAGGACAGACATACATCCCGAAGTGAGCAGCCCCCCTAAGAGTGCTATAGGCACTCTGAACCAGGAGTGACCGACTGTTTGGCACTGCCTGAGGGTGCTCAGCTCGGCACACAAAAGAATACTTGAGAAAAATTCGGAAGAAAGCATACAAAGAGTGTGTGTGTGTGTGTCGCATGTGTGTGTCACATGAGTCTTGCACGAGTATGACACGTCATACTCGCGCCACTCCGACCCAACTTGTCGGCACACTGTGGGCATGGTGCAAGGCGCGGAGGCAATTATCAAACGCGGCGGGGTAAAACCATATCGTACGCCCGTTTGCGGTGAGGGTGAGAACGGCCGTTTTGCCGCACAAATACAAGTATGCGAAAGCCAGACAGGACGGGGGGTGAGGGTGGCAGAAGCCTATTCTTCGAGGCGAATCCATACAACAGCATTCATACATCGCAATCTATCGAGACATAGTCGAACAGTCGTGAGAGGCAATCAAGCCGAGAGAAGATTCCGATCCAAATTACGACAGTGAAAATAACCATTTACGGAAGAAGAGAATCCATCAATTTTCATAGCCACAAGATGCAATAAACAGAGAGAAGATTTCGACCAAATTCTGACCAGAAAGATAACCATACATGGGGGGGAAAGAGAGAAGAGGAGGCAGTGGGGGCGAAACAAGGGTAAAGGGGCATCCACATGGCGAGAGGTGAAGAAAGGACCAAATAGACGCCACTACTATTCAAACAAGGACATGGATCCGAAAAACTTCATGAAAAAAGGAATGCGATTATAGCTCCAAAACGACAAACCAAATAGATCTTTCATAAGAAGCGGGGGAAGGTGAAAATAGACACCACCACCACCCAAACAAGGACATAGTATCGAGAAATCTTGCGAAAAAAAGGATGCGATTATAGCTTCAAAAAACGACAAACCTCGTTCACCCCATTGCCAAAATCCTCATAGGTAACTGCGTCAACGGCTAACAAGAGAAGGGAAAGGCGGAAAGTGATGACGAAGGGAGAAGGGGGAAGGGGGAAGAAGGGGGAAGAAGCTGGAAGAAGATCCTGCTTCAGCTCTTTCCTCCAGGTCCAATGTGCTCCTGTATCCGCACGGACCATCTCGTCGAATCTTGCAGGAAGGGCATGGCAAATCCCTAAAGCGCTTTTCTACCCCATGCCATTTGGGGCGTCATCAGAGGGAGGACATCTTCCATGATCTTTGGAAGATGGGGGGGTCGAGGGAGGCGCGGGGGGGCGTTACGAGAGGAGAATGAAGGATTGGGAGGGGGGGTGAGGTTTGGGGAAGGGGGGAAAGGGGGGCAAGGGGGGCAGAATCCACACGGAGGGGGGGAGGGGAGGGAATAGATGAAGTAGAGAAAGGAGAGGAAGGATAGAAAGGAAATAAAAGCTAAAAAGATGTGCGACGACGTCCCTGTCGCCATCTTGGACTCCATCATCAACTACGCGCACTAACCGCCTGCGTCGATCGGCCAGTTGGCAGCAGCAAGTAGAAACAATAGGCAGCAGCAGCCTGCAAGAAGAAGAGAAACGAAGCAGATAGTGCCAGCGATGAACGTCGCAAAACACTTAGACGAAGCTCGTAGAAGCACCCTCTCCGAGAGGCACGCAGCGAAGAGCAGGCCTGCTATGGCCAGGTTAGGCAGCAAGGCAAGAAGGAGCAACAGAGCCATGTATGCGTTCAGTGCAGGCGAGAAAGCGCAATGGCAAGGTCCGGCGGTCGCAGCGGGGCATGTCGCGGCGCTCTGCATAGCGCAAGGCTGAAGCACGGCCGGGGAGGCAAAACGGAGGGTTTCACACCAGGAGCGTTACCACTTCCTCCTCCTCACGCTGCTCCTCCTCCTGGTCCCACTCGGCGAAGAAGTCATGTCGTATCTCGTCCCACGAAGCTCCCGCAACACCGGACCGCCCCAAGCTCCTCCTGCTGTCAGAGTCGCTAATCGCTCGGTGGACCGATGAATAGTAACCCAAGTGCCTAATCCTAATATAGTCCCTGTCCTTACCCCATATAGTACGCTTCCGATGAACGCTTCCCGCGCCATCCATCCGTTTAGTGCGTTAATCTGTCGGTCGAATTTGAAAGGGATGACCACGGAGAAAAAAAGAAAAAGTAAAAAAATAAAAACAGTAAAAAAAGGAAAAAAAGGAAGAAAGAAAAAACAGTAGCGAAGGAAGTAGTGGAGCTACAAGGGACAAAGGACAAATCCGCCGAGATGACAACGGCCGGAAGGGAAAAGTTCCCCACAGGCCTCGTCGGCCGGAGGCTCCCGCACCGGCCAGTATCCCTTGGCCCGACCCGAGAGTGAGCTGCTCTCTAAGTCCATTGGCGCCTACTCCTGCTTCTCCGGGGGGGTCTATTCTACAGGGTATGGGAAATGGTCCTGGTTTAGTTCATGTTTTTTTTTTTGGAGCAATGCTTTATTCAAGAAAAGAAAAAAGAGAATGAAAAAAACAAAAAAGAGTGGAGGGAAAAAAGCAAAAAGGAAGAAGAAAAAAAGCAAAAAGAAAAAAGAAAAAAGAAAAAAGAAAAGCAAAAAAGACAGAAAGAACAAAAGGAAAAAGGGAAACAAAAAAGGAAAAAGGACATTGTGAAGGAAAGGCATCGCCGCAGAGAAGGACGAAAGAAAACGAGGAGGACAACATCAGCACAGAAGGTCCTTATTCCTGCGCGGCCAGCCATCCCGTCTCCATTTGCCTCCCTGCCCATCCATCGCTGATACCCCTGTATGCATGTGTGTGTGTGKGGGGGGGGGGGGGGGGGGGGGGGGGGGGGGGGGGGAGACCAAGTCTTTAATAGGTGAGATCTCTCTAAGGCTGCATGCAGGACAATTGGAGACCAGTTTTGCGGAATTTTGTCAGTGTAGCAGCTTTATCCTATGCGCTCACAACCACCAATTGCATCTTTCATGCATGTCTTAATGTGGTTGGTGCAGAAGGAGATGAGCCTCATCAGCCCGAGGACCCTATGTTGGATGCTGAGGAAGGTACAATCACGTTATAACAATAGATGATCACTGGCATCCCATCTTCTCCTTCTTCTCCATCTCTGTGTCCTTCTCTCTCTCTTTCTCCTTCTCCTTCTCCTACTCCTCCTCCTTCCCCTCCTCTTCCTCCTCTTTTTCTTCCTCTGCTGCATCCTCCTCCTCCTCCTTGGACAGTGTTAGATGGTTCTTCTTTTCTTCTTTCTCTTTTCTTCCTCCTCTTTCTCCTCCTCCACCTCCTCCTCCACACCCTCCTCCTCCTCCTCCTTGTTCCCCTCCTCTTCCTTCTCTTTTTCTTCCTCTTCCGCACCCTCCTCCTCCTCACTCTTGGACTGTTGAGATGGTTCTTCTTCTCTCTTCTTTCTCTTTTCTTCCTCTTTTCCTCCTCCTTCAACTCCACCTCCTCCTCTTCTTTGCCTTCTTCCCTCTCTTCTGCACGGTTCTGCTCCTCTTTTCCCATTTCCTGCTCTTGTTCATGGTTTCCTCCTCTGCTGCTTCTTTCCATTCCTGCTTTTCGCTTCGCCTCTTCATCCTCTTCATCTTCTTCATGGTTATCATTCTTGTCCACCAGACCTTTGGCGAGCATGCAACAAAAGACTCTAGTGCCACAAGGCTCCTCCCTGCAAATCTGTTCTTCGTATGTGTTGTATGTCACCTGCAATACCCAAACCAACCAGCAAGTGTACCGTAACGAGTCGAGGAGCGGCTAAAAGTACGCATGTTGTTAGTGGCGTTCAAAATCTCATTGAGAAAAGAACTAGCGACGTGTATGAAGGAGGGCTCTCATCGAAAAAAGGTCTTAAAATATGTATGTATTTAGTGGCGCACAAAACCCCACAGGCTGTCACATGAAAGGAAAATGAGCCATTCAAAGTACAGAAACCAAATTGCATCATCTCATTGAAAGCCAGAAAGACGTGCTCGAACAGAAAGAAGAACATACCAAGTGCACAGCAAATAAGAGCAAAGCAATGAACTCAAATGACAATGTCAGCCCTTATCTCGCCTCCGCATTCAATGCCGGACTTCTTATATGGCGCATGGCGCCCATACTACGATCAGACAGCACTTAGACTCTAGCCTATCAACCTATGACTTCAACAGGTCTTCATGAAGTACAGCTGCCAGATGGCGAATGGAGACTTCGGCTGCACCGACTAATTCCCCCCGTCACCAGGTACGTGCCATCTCTCCGTCTCCCCCACACAAACTCCTCAGCCCCCAAGGACCTCCGCTCAACTCTCTCCCAGCTTCAGCCAGCAAGTGGCCTGGCTATGGCCGCTGCCCTCCCTGCCGCGCCCAGGCAGCTTTCCTGTCGCGCCCCGCCAGTGCTTTCACCTCCAGCCCTGGACGCTGTCCAGCACGCATGCCCGCGAGTCAGCAGCGCAGCTGCGCTAATGCAAGCAGCACAAGGCCAGAATGTGTGGGCTGGCGCCCAGCACTTTCTTGTATGAAAAGTGAGCTTTGGCTGTGCTCTGCCTGGACGGCAGGTGCACTGTCCCCAGTACCTCAGGGCTGGGACCAGTATCTGGGCCCAGGGCCCTTCCGGAATGGGCCCTGGGCCCGGTCGGTTGCGTGGCTCAACTGCCCGACGTGGCTATGCTGGATCCTGCATTTTCATTGGCTGAGAGGCGATTGGCCACAGCACGTCCATGAAGCCCAGGACCCGGTCACACAGTTCTCGGCTGTAACCAACTGGCGCCCACGGCCTGGGGACCCACTTTTTGCATCAGAAACTGTCTGGGGGCTCAGGGGCAGGCTCAAAATTCTAGGCCAGCGGGCTTGGGACCTTTTGCTTTCGCGGCCGAGGGGCCACATGCTTTGCACAGATGCAATTAAAAATAAAAATAAAAATACAAGAATTCCCACAGGTTGGTTGGTTTGGGCAACATGAGAGATTTGAAAGAAGGAAATTTTAGAAAAAATGACCATCGCATGCTTTGCACAGATGCAATTAAAAATAAAATAAAAATACAAGAATTCCCACAGGCTGGTTGGTTTTTGGCAACATGAGAGATTTGAAAGAAGGAAATTTTAGAAAAAATGACCATCTGCAAGGAACATGAGTATGGACGAAGCACAGAAATCCAGAATGCAATATCACACTGAAGTCCAAGTAGTCAAAGCCAAAGCAGATAGTACAATGGAACCGAGTAACCATCCAATTGAGAATGATACAGAAGAATCGTGAGTCAATGTCCATGCCCAACAGGGCAACACCAACAGCATAACCCAAATGTAGCTCTCTCTTGTGAATGGCGCCAGGCGCCCTATCTACTCTACAGCCTGTCCTACAACTACAGCAATGAAAGCAACAAGACAACTTGACTACCAGCGAGTGATGATGTCAACACCAATGCCGACCTCCACCTTCACCAGGGACGTGTCCTCTTTACCCACACTCTTCCCTGTTACCCATACAGCGCCCTTCACCTCCGAAGACCACCTTCGCCCTTCACCCTCACTACACCCTCATGGGGCCCGGCTATGGCCGCCAGTGCCCTGGTGCGCAGGCAGCACCCTACCGCCTAGCGCTGGCCTGCCTTGCACCTCTCTTAGCGCAGCGCAGCAGCAGCAGCAGCTCGCATTTGCGCAGCGTGCCGGCATTGCCCGCAATGGCCAAGATCCCTGCCCACTCGCCCTGCTTGCCTATATGCCAGTGCAGCGTGTGGGCGGCCTCCCTTCAGCMTGTGACCGGGACCCAGAGGCTGAACCCAGCCTGATACAGTTGGGCCCYGGGGCAATGCMGTTGCGSCTCCTTCATCAAGGCCTGCGGYCAGATTCAGACAGTGGGCCGATTTCCCTTTGGCATTTTCGGCCTCTATACCCAGCATGCATTGTCGGCCTCACATTCGAGTGCCCAGGGCCTAACTAACTCAGAGRCCCTGGACATTTCAGCATTTGCTGAAATCCGAGACTCGGTGCACTCCARCCAACTGGYGTGCTACAACTGTATGGACCCCACTTCGTGAAATGTTGGCACAGAGAGCTCTTGTTGATTTGCTGGCCCGCCTTCACTTAGGGCGGGCACGAGGCTTGCTGGGGCCTTAGCCCAAAACATGTACATCATGGCAAGGCCCCTACTTGAGGGCTCAATCCTCACATTCCATCCCCCTTAGCTTCGAAAGTCCGCTGAGATGCTTACTTCGCAGGTGCCTTCGCTTTTAGCTTCCGTTCATAATCTGCGACGACCTGAGGAGTTGTTTCCATCAGTTCCTCCCGGGTAAACCACCGATCTTCTTTTGGATCCGTATGATGCTCGAATCTGATCCGGTACTCCCTCCTGGGTTTAGGAGGTCTTCCTCGACCCAGCGGCTTTGCAACAGGCATGTCCCGGTGATCCACAATGTCATCGATGTCGACTTGTCCATCCATGGTTGGGGGCAGCATCGATCTCCTGTAAGGGAATTGATCAGTCTCAGCAAAAGGTGCAAGCTTTGAGGCATGAAAGACTGGGTGAGTGCGTAGGTGTCCAGGGACATGAACGACATAAGTGGGGCCATCCATCTCATCTCCCACTATATCTAGGACTTCCCAGGGACCAAAGTATTGAGGCATTAGTTTGCGAGAGACTCCGAATTCCTGTCCTAGCTCGCTAGCCTTGACCCAGACACGTTCCCCTACCTGAAATGTGGATTGTCTACGATGTTGATTCTCAGAAGCAATCATTGCTTGCTGAGCTTTCTTCATATGCTCGACAGCTTCTTGCAGCAACTTCTCATATTGCACACCATATTCCAGTGTGCCTGGGGTTGCAGCAGGTCGGTTTTCAGGTAGGAGGAAGTCTAACGCGGATCTAGGCTTCCATCCCAAGTGTAGCTGGTTAGGACTGACGCCGGTGCTGCTGTGCACAGCATTGTTGTACAAACTGGCGATGAGTGGCAACTGCTCATCCCAATCGTCTTGGCTGAGCTTGATGTAATGCCTCAGCAAGTGCTGTACAACTCTATTCATCTGTTCGGCTTGTCCGTTGGCTTCGGGATGATTCCCTGAAGTCATCTGAAGTTGACTGCCCATTTGTTCCGCAGTCTTCTTCCATAGCTCACTTGTGAATCGGACGTCTCTATCACTAACGATAGTCTTTGGTAAACCAAAGTCCCGCACCCAGTTGTCCTTGAACAACTTCATAACATATTCTGTCCTGGCTGTCTCTAGCATTGGTATTAGCCTAGTGTACTTGGTGAATCGGTCAATGATGACGAAAATGTGCCTCTTACCACTCTTGCTGGTCACAAGAGTGTCCATGAAATCCATGGAAACACTCAACCCTGGACCATCAGGAATAGGTAAAGGCTTCAATAACCCAAGCGGTGCTTGAGTTCGCGGCTTGTCCCGCTAACAGACCTGACAGGTCTCAACATACTTCTTTGCATTATCTAACATTCTGGGCCACCAAAATCGCTGTACTAAGTTAGCACTCGTCTTCTTGTAGCCAAAATGCCCAGTTGCGTCATGACATTCGCCTAAAAATAAACTACTCAACTGTTCACTAGATGGAACTACCAATCTCTTTACTCCGGCCTTATCAAGATAGATTAGCCCATCCACCATCACAAACTCACTTTCTGTGGCCTTGTCTTTTGCCTGAAGTTTGCGGATGATGTCCATCGTGACAGGATCTTCCTGATAGGCTCCCACCAATGATTGAGTTAATTCGTTATATACGCCAAATTCAGAAACTAGCGCACCTAGGTAGTCTGCTCTACGGGATAGCGCGTCTGCAACCTTGTTGTACTCTCCCTTCAGGTACTCAAGCTTGAAGTCATATTGGTCTATGACCTCAATCCATCGCTTGAGTGCATCAGTAAGAGYCGGTTGAGTCTTGATCCATTTGAGGGTCTGATGATCAGTCCTCAGATAGAAGAACCTTCCCAAAAGGAAGTGTCTCCAATGGACAAGTGCCTTGTAGAGAGCATAGAGTTCCCTTTCGTAGGTGGACTTAGCCAACTTCTTCGATGGCATCTTCTTACTCATGTACTCAATCGGTCTCAACTTTTTTCCAT